TATGCCCAATATGAACTGTACAGAGCACTGTGAAGATATCTTCATGATTTATCAGAGACTCTAGTCTAGTTGATCATCATTGCAGCCTTTTGGTTCTCATTGCACACCATTGTGCTGCATCCCAACCCAACACTCACAATGTGCTCATGGCTGCAGACTCTTTCCCTTCCCCCGCACTCCCCAGGTAGGGGGTCAAATGATCTTTCAGAGCATCCATCTTCAGGCAGTGTGATCCTGAAACAGCAGGGAGGTTCATTTCAATCAAAAATGTAAGTTCTCAGACTCCTATCAAAAAGGCATGCACACTTTATAAAGTTACAAAAGTATACAGATACCCAAACGTTTGCACAACACAAATGTGCCCATCTGGCTGTTTTTTTTTTTTTTTTAAAGAGTTGAAGTAATCAAAAAGGAGATTTAATAATATTTTCTAAAAAAAATTGCGCTAAACCTAAACCCCCTTTTACATGCATTTGAACCTTACTTAGGCTATAAATTGAGATTTCAAAATAGCCTCTATATGCAGTTTGAAGTCACATTGAAACGTGTTGGCGGTCTTGCACCGAGGCCTAACGCCCTGCAGAGGGAGCTAGTGCAGTAAACCTACTGCAAGTTACTAGCAATTACACAGTTTAACTTTATTTATAATACATGTATATTAAAATTATATTCGTGTAAACAAAACACGCTTGTATAAAATAGGGATTACGGAACATTATATAATTTGTTCAAATCCCTATGGTCAAATTAACACTCACTTTGTTCAACCATCTTTTAACTTGGTTCTCCTCGAGTTCCTTGGGCACTTTGTGTTCTGCGTAGTGAACTCCATGCTGGGATTCGTTGTAGATCTAAAGAACAAATGTTGAAGTCAGCTCTCCCTCCATTACAGTTAACTTTGTTTTTCTAAACATAGTGATGACATAATTAACTACTGCCATGGGCAGACGACTACAGTCAAAATGAAGTGCACAACAAAATGATTAGACATACAATCTGAACGTTGAACGACAGGGGAGGGAGTGTATTCCGCCAATTAGTTGTAGGTCAAGGACTTGAGCCAAGCTACAGTGGAGGGCCGAAAGCTTCTCTACCAAGGAACATTCAGTCCCACTCCATCACTGCAGATGGGAGGAGAGGGAACCCTGGACATTACAGTGACCATGTGCTCGGCATGGAAAAACTTCTGCACACGCTGCTGGTCGCATCTCGCACAACTGACTACTACGTTTATATATTTATGTCATAAGCCTTAAACACACACGCATAACCAGATGGAATCACATTTACCTACCCTTGTTTCCTAGGCGTTACAGTTCTGAGCAAAAAAAAAGGTTAGCTGTACGTCCACATCCAACAGAGAGCAGACAGAGAGACCGAAAAATGTCCGGCCTTGGTTTATATAGGCGGGTACTGGTCCTCCACAGCACCCTCGTGCATTTGGTGTCCTGAGTATGCCTGTTAATAAATACCCTGAATTAAATATACATTCCGAAAAAGAGAGAAAGTAAAAGAACAACTTTTAGCACAGTCAGTACTATTCAATCATTACTATGGACATAAATGTTTTCCTTTTTTGGGTGACTGAGATTATTTTTGAAGACATCTTAAAGTACACATTGTGTGTCATTTCAAATTGTGGGTTCATCTAACGTTAAATGGAGCCAATTGCAAAAACGTAAGCTCATACATAGCTGTACATGTAAATATCATATCCGATAGAGTAACGTTACTAAGAAGCAAGACATGTGTAAGTAGTACATTTAAATACAGGTTTGTGTGTACATAGGATACATATTACTTTACTTAAACTCTAGATCAGGATCCATCTATTTAATCCGTTTTTAAGCGTGATTTATATTTTTACAGTTCAAATTAAGATTCAAAAAGGGCTATTTTTCTTCAATGACAGAACAACTACAAGTCCCACCACCCATCGGTATTAAGGGGATGCCAGGTTCTCTCGGACTGCAAAGGAAAAGGGCGTTTAAAGCATGCGCCCTCTATGGGTTCTACAAATTCTATCTGGCAACGCAGTATCCATTCTCACTGTTGTCGTCACTGAGGTCAGGTAGACGGAGCGAAGATGGCGACCGCCTACGAGAGATACAATTTGTAAGTACATGTAATATAGTTTTTCAAACGTCTATTCTTATTTCTGCGTCTGATAAAAGACAAGAAAGCGGATCAGCTTATGGCTGGTGTAAAGCCGAAGCTGGGGTTCAGAGGCAGCCATAGCGCTAGGTCAGATGACACGGCGGCTGAAGTTCGCTGACAGGCTCGGATCGTAACGTTAGAACCCGGGGTTAGGTTCGAAGAGGAACCGGTGAGGCTTCATTCAACACTCATTCATTATGAAGGACATAGTCCCTCCTCGTTAATTTTCATAAAATAGTGGAGAGGGTTGTTGTTCAGTGCAAACTAACAGGGCGGCAGAAAGTTAGTTAACCTAGCTAGCAGCAGAAGGCGTTTCGGCTGCTCATTAATTTTTAATCTGAATGTATTGTCTGTTGCATTCTGAGGTGGTTGTGTGATGGTTGTGTGATGTTTATGACCCACATTTCTTTGCAACGTAAGGTTTTTTTCTCTCTCTCTCTAATTAAATCATTCAACTGTCTGTGAACCAAACACTGAAACATGTTTTATTAAACGTTAGCTATTTCCTATATACAGAGGTGGAAGAAGTACTCGAATGTTGCACTTGCGTTTGAGCAGAACTATCGGGGTGTACGAGTCAAAGTCGTGCATTCAAAATCTTACTCAAGTAAAAGTACAAAAGTATTAGAATCAAAATATACTGTAATTTCCAAAAGTAGTCATTGTACAGATGTATTTCAGAATAATATATATGATGTGTTTTATAATGATTGATCATGAAAGTGTTCTCAAAGCTGGTAAAGGTGCAGCTAGTTTGAATGATTTTGTAGACTGCAGGGTAGCTTCTGAATTTCTCTGCAAAGTAACTAAAGGTATTCAATAAATGTAGTGGAGTAAAACTACACAATTTACCTATCAATTGTAGAAGTACAAAGTAGCAAAAAAACTCCTCAAAATTGTAGTTAAGAAGAGTACTTGAGTAAATCTCTGTCGTTACTTTACACCGCTAAAGTTGACAGGACTGGTTGTACTTTTCCAGACACACCCTTGTTCAAACATGCCACCTTATCGTTCAGTGTCCTGCCCGGTCCAACCTGTCTGTCTCTACCCAGTGTTTCCTGCAAGTGTTCCCTACATAGGTTAGCTGCTTACCATCATTCCTCCTTCCACAATGAACACTTGAATAATAATAACAATTTGACATGATTCAAAGGTTTTCTTTGTCATATGCACAGCAGCTACAGTGTAGTTTTGGAAAGGAAAATCAAAAATGTCAGGCTTTTTCTAACAATTCAACCTACAGTGTACTTAACAAATTTAACTAATGCAATAGAATATTTCAAGATGGTTCAAGTAAGGTGCAGCAATACAAATATATACATAAACAATGAAACAAGATAAAACAGAATTTTAAAATGAATAGAAATACTGTACAGTACAATAAAAACGGTATACTGCAATATCATGTGGATATGAGGAATATAAACAAATCAACAGTGAACAATGGACAAGGTTTATGTGACTGGTGATACTTGACAGCGCTCGGGTGTTCAGCACTCACAGCCCGTGGGATAAAAGTGTCTGGTGGTGTTGGTCTGGATGCTGCAGTTTGTCTGCTTCAGAAAGACCTGTTTTTTGCTGGGATGATGGGGATCTACATTGCTTAATATCCCTCTCAAAGTGCCATGAAATACCCATGATGACTTTATACGTTTCTTGAGCCCAAATGTAGGCTTAAAATAAAGGAATGTTATATCCAATCTATTCCTCCTAATCTTTTCTATGGCTCTAAATGAGACCATTTTCAAAGTAAGGTAAGAAACAGGGAAATAACTATATTTTATTATTATATGATGATGCAATGCAGTGTTTGAAAATCAATACACACTACTTCCACATCTGTGATGTCATTCTTGGAGCAAAGAACCAGAGCAGGATACAATGCAGAGCTCTGAACTGACGTCAGACACTGAAGATCTATTGGAAGTTACGGCTGGAGACTTGGCAATACTTTTGCAGAGACAAAGCGTCTGCCCATCCAACTCTCTCAGTCTGCCCCCGCAACAGCTCCTTTACCCACACAGTCCATAATCCAACGTTCCAATCAGAAATACCTTTCCACTCACGTTAATGCAGAGAAGCATGTTCCAGAAGGTGTTGGATCAGGTTAAACTTACTCTCTGACACATAGCATGTTAAGTCCTATCAATATCTGAAGAAGAGAATGCTAACAACCTTGCTGTAGAAGGAGATCATCGAGGTCATCGCTCAGTTCATTGTTATACAATACGCTGCCCAAGCTCCAGTCCAAATGCCTGCTGCCTGTACAGACAGAGACACACCACCTACGGCCAGGACAGAAGTGGAGAATGATTGGAAGGAGACTAGTTCAATCATTCTCTATCAACAACAATGCTTCCAGGATGTTGACATGATGTAATGCCTCACTCCAGAAAAGTTTGAAGTCTCTTTGAACGTTTTGATGTTGTACTGAAATGAATGGAAAGCAGTACTTTCTTCGAAATGAAGAAGAACTCATCCTAAAGACTAGAAGATTTCCGCTTCATTTGGAAGTCATTTAAAGTCCACATGATCTGTAGTAAATGTCCTAAACCATGCAAGGCATGTCCAGTGTTTCAGTAATACTACTTAGTGTTAGTGCTTTCTGTGGTCTATGATGGAGGCCAACAATGGGCTGTTTGTGTGTTTGCGTCAGCAGCACTACAGCTCACATTCTCTTGCTGCAGGGATTTAAAGCTGTGTGTTACTCAAGCAGTCACTGTGACCTCTGGTCTCTTAACACAATGAGTGCTTTAGAGGGAAGCAATTTTTTTTGGTTCATTCGTGCTTTCTGTTTTTGGTTGACAGTAGAAACAGACAGGAACTTAGGGAATGAGGAAGAGGCAGGATACCATCACAAAAGGTGCCTTCCTTGAATGATACTGGGACTTTAGATGGTATGCATCTCAGACCACTTTGCAAAGAGATCATTGCTGGACTTTTCATAGGCTAGTGTGAGTTTAATATGTAATGTTTCCCCAAAAAAATATAGTTCAAGGAAATACTTCCCGATCCAGTGGGAATCAAGGCTGCGTCCAATTTTCAAAAAAAGTATAACATTTTGATTTCATTCTACTCAACATTTTATAAAAACACCTTGCTTCCAATGAACCTTCCTCTGTTAGGATCCTTCCTTTGTAAACTGCTCTCAGTTCCCTTCTCCACACCATCTCAGCTGGACGGATGTGATGTTGGAGGGCTGGAGGTTAATCCTGGTGTTAACAGCAGTCTCTAGGTCAGTGGTCACCAACCTTTTTAAGCCCAAGATCACTGACCTCGGCCTAGGTGAAAGGCGAGATCTACCTATTGCAGAATTGAGTGAAAAAGACGGCCCAGACAATGCTTCCAATTTGAGGCCTTTTATATAGGCTAATTGCATTTTAATTACTGTTACAATGAAGGCTCCATAATCAGCTCACGGCATATAAGCAGGGGTATAGTGCTATTGGGGGGCAGTCAGACCTCACCTCCTCTAGGGGGGTTCGGGGGGATGCTCCCCCAGGAAGATATTTTTTTTAAATATTGAAGTTGAAAGCATCAATCTGGTGCACTTTGAGAGCAACATGAAGAGATCTATGGATACCTCTCTCAGCACCCATATGAGACAGAACTGTAAACAGATTTTCTTTTTCTTTATGGATATTTTACAAATCACTCCCCTTTTAAACTGTATTCTTGTTTTACTGACATACTGTATAGTAGGCTATTTCATACCTGTTTTTCATTTATTCTCTTATTGTTTGTATAACTATAATGATCATATGAAGGTGTGCCACGGAAATAATCTTTTGAATAATTTGTGACAAAACCGTTCTAAACACTCAGAGAGTCCTTTAGCTCACCTGAGCCCCTCAGTCTGACAGGAGAGGAC